AGTAAACCCCGGAACTCTAAAAATTTGCAGTGGACTAACGACTAAGTTACTAAACCCATTTCTTGATGGGTTTGAAATTCTTGTTTAAGCCCATCTATTCTTTCTCTTTTCTTTTGGGCCAGAGGTCCACCCCATCTTATGTAATTTCTAGTGTCAATTTCATGAAGGACGAGGTAAAATTTTTGTTCAGAATTGTTGCAGATTGTCTTCGGCTGCTAGAACCTCAATATCAAAGGAATTCTGCACTTCCTGCCAAAACTGAATGTTCCAAGGATGAAGATGGGAGCAGAGAGGATGTGCATGCTATCACCAACAATTGAGGATGTACATACCAACTTGAGGACGAAATATCATCCTGAGTCTAAAATTTTAGACCGTATCCCAGGGTCTTAGTTGGTTTAGATAAGTAGATTTTAGGGAGTCTAAAATTTTAATGGTAGAATACAGTTTCTAATAGATTGAGACAAATGGCTTCAAAACAGTGGGAGAATACATTCTCATGAAGGATATCATTAGTGGTGTATCAATTTCTAATCTTGATATCATTCAAATGGGTTACAAACAAGTCATTCCAAGTATCTGTAATTCCTGGTAGGCACCAGTGCATGCAATCGTCGTGTTCCTTTCCACCAGCAGTGGCCGGATGGGCATCTGCTCTGAACTCACTCATGCGGGTGATGTCTAAAACATAGAAATTAGACTCCACAAGGGCCTGGAATAGGTGTTGATTCACCATGCGTGCCTCCACATTTGTCCCGTTATTCTTTAATGAGAAGAGTTCTTCAACCTGAAAGACAATTTGAAGAGCTAAACATATTAACCTCAATTCAGAGCAGAACAGAAACAATAGATAAGCATGTGCATTACATAAAAAATGATAATGCTGTGGCGTATGACAGGATGCAAGCAGCAATAATAAATTAATAATCAATAAAGAAAACTCACTTGCTCTGGCAACATAGGTTGTAACCGTTGGCAAGAACCACCTTGGTTCCAGTCACCTCCTTCAAAATGCCTAGGTGATTGTGTGCGAAAAAATTTAATTGTCCCTGGTCTTGAGCCTCTCTCCGCAAACAGTATCTTCCATAGAAAATAAAATAGAAAATAAGAAAGAAACTCACAAGTAGTTAAATTAAAGCCAGAAATCAAGTTAATTCCCAATACTATAGACAATCCATTCAACCTGAACATAGACTGCAAGGTTATAGGTCAGTTGTCTATTTTCTGTTCTCTATATGTCTATGTTCAGAGAAACTCATTAGCACCTAATACAGAGTTTCACAAAACTTTCAGTGTTTACCATGTGTTAAATCTTATCATCTGATACCTTACAAAAGTAGTAAAAAGAAAAGCAGCATTTTTTTGGTTAAAATGAAAAAAATATAATCATACCATGTTCTTCAAAGCCATCACCAGACCAACATCAGGAGGTATGGGAGGGATCACCGGGAGATTATTTTCAAAGAAAAGCATGGGGAACTTCACAGGATCAAATTTTGAAGGAGCAAACCACCTATTAAGGCAGAAAAAATGTTAGTAAGAAAACCTATACTGGTAATAGAAAAAAGACCATCCTAGTTAACAAAAGGCAGGAATATAATATCACGGCAGAAAATCAAAAAAAAAAAAAAAGAAAAAAAGAGGGGGGTGGGGGGTAGACTCTGACTAGTGGAAAATATATTTATTACACACATCAACATAGAACCATCAGGCAGCTAGAAGCTAAATACTTCCAAGAGGCACAAGACACTTCTCAAATCAGTTCCACAGTTCCAAATGTAACATGCCATACAAATCCAAAGGAGGAAAGCTCCATACACCATCCACTAGGACCTACAGGCTTGAACTGACCAAGCAGCAACATGCATACATCACATAGCATTTGGTGTCATTGAATAGCAATAAAAATAAAGAAGGTTAATATCCATGGAGATCATTAACAGCAAACAAAATATTTAAACAGATGATGAGACTACCAGTGTCCTGTGTTGAAGATTACAATATCATGGAAGCTTGGAGCTTTTGCCCATGTGCCCTCTGGAACATCAACATCAACTCTATAACCCTCTTTGAATCCAAGAGTTTCTAACTCTCCACCACTATCACTAGCTGACCACCTGCATCAAATAAGCATGACGTAAATGAATAAAGCAACAATATCAAATCAAAACCAGATTGATTTACATGAGATCAACTCACTAATATAAACTACAATACTTCACTCCCCTAAAAGATGGAATTTTGTTTTCTTAGTAATCAACAATTCTAGGTTAAGGACAAAGAACTTAAGCAATCACACTAACATTAAGTATAATGCAGAAAAAACAGCAAAACCAGCTTACCTACCGTAACGGACCAAAAGATTGGTTCGATGATATGCAATGGTGAGATTATACTGAAGAAACGTAAACCCCCGATCAGCCCCAGCAGGACGCCACTTCTTCACTTCACTCGACACCCGTTTCAGAGTGCAGAATAAAGAAACAAACATATTCCTATTCAAGGAATCGCCAATGAACCCTGCACTGCTAAACATTCGTAAGGTCTAAAAATAGCAGGATACATCAAAAAGAACAAGTGGGTCACTTCAATTGCTGAAATTTAGAGAAAAACCCCTGCTTTCCCAAATTTCCCAGAAACCAAATAAGGCCCAGGTGAGAGAATACCAATGTTAGTATCTCTATAGGTCTCGAGAAACTTGAGCGGATCCAATTGCGGGAGAGGGCAGTTTCTGGGGATCCAGCGCCACTTGACGATCTCTTTAGCGTTGGATTTGTTGTTCAATCCACAGTTCCATCCTTTGAATATCTCCTTGCAGCTGCTATCGTACCTCTCGAATCTGGCATCTGGGTCGTAGATCCACGACCCGTCGGAGTAGTCGCATCCAGAGCCTGAACCAACATTGTTAACACCATAGCTACCGTTGCTGGCAATTTGGAAGACTCGGGATTGTTTTAGAGGTGAGGAAATGGATGCTCTTCTGGAGAGTGAGAGAAGGAAGAAGATGGAGATGAAGCAGAGGAGAGAAAACAAAGGGAATAGAGATGAGAGCTTCTTTGTTGCTGCCATGGCGGTCACCTGTCGCGGCAAAAACCACTTTTAGCTGTTTACTTTTATAAATTTATAGGTTTAGCACGTCACACCCTTCAATTATTTGCGTTGGAAAAAATAATCTTCATTTAATATCTGTTAATTGATTATTAATTTTATTAATTAATTATTAATATTGTGTTATAAAAATATAATATTTAAATTTAATTTTATTTATTAATTTTATTAATGAAGTATTAATAGTTAATTAATAAAATTAATAGTTAATTAATAAAATTAATAATCAATTAATAAAATTAATAATTAATTAATAAATTTAACAAAATATTATAATTTGATGTTAAATAAAGATTATTTTTTTAATTTATATAAATAAAAAATTAAAAATATTATAATATAAAATTAAAAATTAAAACTTATAAATTTATTAAAATAAAAGCCTAAAAGTACATAATTGCCACTCCCACCTGCTTATGGGATGTAAGAAATTTTCCCACTTGGGGCTTTGGAAATTGGTAGTTAGGCTGGTTGGGTCCTGAATTCTGAAAGTTGGACCTATAGCGTCAGACTTTGGGCCAACTAGTAATAATTTCAAAAGGCCCAAAGTCAAACATGGCCCACGATGATGCATCCTAAAGCATGACAGAACAAATCAATAACACATGAGAAACTTTATATAAAAAAAGAAAAACAAAACAAAACATGAGAATAAAAAAGAGTCTTCATCTCAACAAAGTGAATTATTGTTCTCTTAAACATGAGGATCACACTTTTTCCTCCATGAAAATAATAAAGTTTGTCCCATCAAGGAAAGTAGTTACGGCTATTATTCAATTTGGTAAAGTCATCAATAATTATCAAACTTTTAATTTAATTTAATTATTAAAAATAATTGATAATTAATAATATTATTTATTAAATTAAAATTATTTTGTAAATATA